ACGTCACTATTGTATAGACGTCATCAATAATAGAACATGGGCCCACATTTTTAGTACTTTAGGGGTAAAAATCTTGTGAAAAAATTGTCCTGAAGAAGCCCTAGTTCAGGGCGAAACCGGTCGACCTTCCAAATAAACCCAAGAACCACCTACCCTATGGCTTGTTGCGATTGATTTCTTACGATTTATATTTACCCACATTCTCAATCGCCCTGCATACTAATTGGTATCCAAGCCGGGATTTCGGAACCTACCAAACATAAACCAGAAGTACGGCGTTGGCTCTATACTTCGAGAAAAGAAGAGATGTACATGTAGTGTGTCTGGTAACATAACTGGGTTAAATATGTCTATTTAAATTGGTGACCAGAAAGCTGAGTTCAGTTGGTTAAAGTATTTGTGTATAGTTTGGAAGTCCTGGGTTCAAATTTGTATTGGCCCTGCTGCATTTTACCACTCCTAGCTGTACATGTATCCCTATATATATATATGTGCCTTCAATATCTGCTTTTATTTTCTTGTTGCTAGATGTAGTCATGTTGTACATAATTCATATCAATGTGACAGTCCTACATCAGATACATGTATTTAATAATATAAGTGTCTCTGATCAGGGATCTGATCTAAGTGAGCTGTTTCCCAAATGAATATGCTTTTATCATCTGAATAGCATAACTCTTGTGAGTGTCTTATGAAAATTGTATTTCTTTTCCTGTACAAGCAGTGTAAATAAGTGTCATTTTCCCAATAATTATTGCATGCATAAGTGTAACAGTGGTTGTATTGATGATACATTTTTTTTTAAACGATGATGGTGATGATACTCAAACCTCAGCATCATCCCATGGTTATGCACCATATGATTTGTTGCATCATGATCATTGAACATAAAAACTTTTCTGTACTCACATTTCACGTTTGAGTAATGGCCTTACCCTTGTATTGACGTTGTTTATTCTGGAGTATGTTCCTTCTTTGCAGCTTAAGTATTTTGACAAGAGGTGTCGTGGCAGTATTCCAGTTTCAGCAACAATACGGTGTCTATTCACAGCTTGATGGCATAATCCTTATACAATCTTGGTTAAAACTTAGTAAAGACTCAGACATTAGACGTGACTGATAAACAAAACTGAGAATTCCGGAATTGATTAATATTACATATTTCAGAATTTAAACTTATGTTATTAAAGAAAATATATTTTTATTAATTACCAATCAAAATATTATTTTTTCTTAAGTTCGATGGATTTTTTTTAAAACCAAAATTTACTTTGATTGCGGATACTTGGCATGTGTTCGTTTTTAATTTTAGAGCACAGGCACTCACTTCCTTTGCGTCATCCTCCGAATTATCAATCATGGCAGATCCAAAATATGCAAATTTACCTGGAATTGTAAGTGTATCTAGACTATATATTGATAATGTCGATTGCTTTCTTAAAAGAGAATAATCAGATGTACTTGAAATAGTAAATTTAGAGTAGACGCACTTCCAAGCGAGTAAGGGCGTTGTCAGATCGATCGACTAGTTGATCGACATCGCAGCATCTGACAGTTGCTTGATGTGATCTGGTGATCACTGGCTGTCAGTGATGACAGTTGGTGGTTTATTACACAGTCTGTCCAACACCTTTTATTGTCAAATCACATGTCGGTCAAAGGATGCCAGGTACTGGAGCACCAAATCACAGGTGTTTGAAATTCTGACTGTAAATTACATTGAGATAAAAATCATATAAAAAAATAGGGTATTACTTTAAATTAGTATAAAGTACAGGTATGCAACGCCTCCAATGTAAACAATCACAAAAGTCGGTGAAATCGGAAAAAAAATATACGGATTACACTCTACCTATTGTTTTTTATCGATGCCGCGAACATTATCAGACCCTCGCTTAGCATAAATCAGCACTCACCGCTTTCAGTTCTATTTCAGCTAAAAACTGCCTAAGATGGTTGTCACGAGCACCATGGGGGGAAAATGTCGGCTATTTTTTTGCATGTCCAGGGGTGAATATTTGTGTTATTAGTTTTCATTTATAACACAGATAATAAAAAACAAGAGAATTCTTCGAATTTTAATATATATTCTGTGTGATGAAAATATTTCAAACGCTGTTTATGTTTAATCTTTTAATTGTTTACAAAATGGTTGAAAGATTTCTCCGTCACGGTGGTCGTGACAGACAATGTAAAATATGTCAACAATTGCCTATTTAAATTACTCAGAGGCACTGTATTAACCCGGACCATATTTTAGGTAGGGATTACAATCGTATGAAACACTTGCTGATTGGCTGATTTAGTTCTGTGAGTCCTAAGCGAGATTTGCTGGTGCTCCAGCACCTGGATGTGGCAATAAGTTCACGTAATCCAATAGATTGGTGAATTATATCATACATTGAGTGCCAATTGCATCGTGGCTTTTGCAGATAAAATCACGATACTTTTAAAAAGTTTCGTAGAGGTTACTGCCCTTTAAGAGTAGTTATTACCGTGGTAAACCAATCACACAAAATTAATTTCAGGATGCATTTCTTCTATCCCCCCAAAAAATGTTATTTCAAAACTAAAAAAGCGATTACAATTTAGGTAATGGATACTTAAAAACAAACTAAAAAAGCAATTACTACATGTATTTAGATAATGGATACTTAAAAATCAAACTAATTCATCATGGAGAACCGAACACTTGAGATTTGTTTCATATCAAGGAAAACTATGGTAACCGGTTTGTACAGAAAATTGCAACACTTATTGCAATATATGTATCGTAACATGACCCAAGTATTGCAATAGGTATTGTAACGTGATCCATGTATTGTGATGCATATCGTATCTTCGTAACCCATAATTTACTAAACACAGCACAATACTCCTAACAATGCAGTCGACATAACCATAAATATCCGATAAGAAATACTGGACCAGTGGCCTTCTATATTACAGGAGTCATATAAAGTTTCATGTTGATGATTTACTGTGCATGCCTTCTAAATGCTTTAGATTGCAATTCATCAGGATGACTATTTGATTGTTATTTCAATCTTTCTTTCTGTTTGTTGTAGGATTTAAACTCTCCCGATGTGTTTGAGACCAGCGACCTTCCCGAGGATGACCAGGCTATGAAGTCTGAGCCAGTGGTAAATAGATTGTCATATTAAAGTCTGAGCCAGTGGTAAATAGATTGTCATATTGAAGTCTGAGCCAGTGGTAAGTAGATTGTCATATTGAAGTCTGAGCCAGTGGTAAATAGATTGTCATATTAAATATACTTGACATGCTAGGAGAATTTCCATTTAGCTCATCGGTAGAATACAGGACTTGTTATCTAACTTATCTGTAATCCTTGGTTTGACTCTTAATTAATTGGTGGAGACAGTAGGAAAATGTGACCTTGATTAGTTGATTATAATGTCTGTGAGTATCACTGACCAGTCTATGTGAAAATACTGTGATATCTTTTGTCAAAGTTAACATTCTCCTTAGCATGGATGGCGGATGTAGAGTAGAAAGATGATGTGTTGATGTAAAAATATGCAAGTGTTAATGTTGTGATGCAACTGAAAAGATGCGTGTACTCATAATATATGAAATCATTTCATCATACATGAATGATTGGAGGATGATGATGTTGATGATGATGATGATGATGATGATGATGATGATGATGATGATGATGATGATGATGATGATGATTTTCAAGCAAACTACATACCCCGGTCACAGCATATTGCATGATTATATGAATGTAAAAAATATTTCTTCACTTCACCAATAGGGCCAAGAAGAAGTTCCAAATGAAAACATTGACAAGATCACTTTGGACACCAAGACTGCTCTTACAAAATTCAAAGGAAGGGATCTTCAGGCTGAATCAGTTGGTATGTACACATGTCATCAGTTTTCGTAGATTCATCTTTCTTTGTGAACAATCTCTGTAACAACCTGCACTGTCTGTATCGTTAATGGAATACAAGGCTAGGTTGGGCACTGTCCGTATTGTTAATGGAATACAAGGCTAGGTTGGGCACTGTCTGTATCGTTAATGGAATACAAGACTAGGTTGGGCACTGTCTGTATCATTAATAGAATACAAGGCTAGGTTGGGCATCACCATCATGGCATTCATAATCTCATTAGGCCAAAACAAATTCTTTTGTGTCCCCTTACCTAGGTATGTACACATGTCATCAGTTTTCGTAGATTCAGCTTTCTTTGTGAACAATCTCTGTAACAACCTGCACTGTCTGTATCGTTAATGGAATACACGGCTAGGTTGGGCACTGTCTGTATCGTTTATGGAATACAAGGCTAGGTTGGGCAATGTCTGAATCGTTAATGGAATACAGGGCTAGGTTGGGCACTGTCTGTATCGTTACTAGAATTGGAATACAAGGCTAGGATGGGCACTGTCTGTATCGTTAATAGAATCCAAGGCTAGGTTGGGCACTGTCTGTATCTTTAATGGAATGCAAGGCTAGGTTGGGCACTGTCTGTATTGTTAATGGAATACAAGGCTAGGTTGGGCTCTGTCTGTATCGTTAAGTGAATACAAGGCTAGGTTGGGCACTGTCTGCATCGTTAATGGAATACAAGGCTAGGTTGGGCTCTGTCTGTATCGTTAAGTGAATACAAGGCTAGGTTGGGCACTGTCTGGATCATTAATGGAATACAAGGCTAGGTTGGGCTCTGTCTGTATCGTTAAGTGAATACAAGGCTAGGTTGGGCACTGTCTGTATCCTTAATGGAATAGAAGGCTAGGTTGGGCACTGTCTGTATCTTTAATGGAATGCAAGGCTAGGTTGGGCACTGTCTGTATCTTTAATGGAATGCAAGGCTAGGTTGGGCACTGTCTGTATCTTTAATGGAATGCAAGGCTAGGTTGGGCACTGTCTGTATCCTTAATGGAATAGAAGGCTAGGTTGGGCACTGTCTGTATCTTTAATGGAATACAAGGCTAGGTCGGGCACTGTCTGTATCGTTAATGGAATACACGGCTAGGTTGGGCACTGTCTGTATCGTTAAGGGAATACAAAGCTAGGTTGGGCACTGTCTGTATCGTTAGGGGAATACAAGGCTAGGTTGGGCACTGTCAGTATCGTTAATGGAATACAAGGCTAGGGTGGGCACTGTCTGAATCGTTAATAGAATACAAGGCTAGGTTGGGCATCACCATCATGGCATTCATAATCTCATTAGGCCAAAACAAATTCTTTTGTGTCCCCTTACCTAGGTATGTACACATGTCATCAGTTTTCGTAGATTCATCTTTCTTTGTGAACAATCTTTGTAACAACCTGCACTGTCTGTATCGTTAATGGAATACACGGCTAGGTTGGGCACTGTCTGTATCGTTAAGGGAATACAAAGCTAGGTTGGGCACTGTCTGTATCGTTAAGAGAATACAAGGCGAGGTTGGGCACTGTCTGTATCGTTAATGGAATACACGGCTAGGTTGGGCACTGTCTGTATCGTTACTAGAATTGGAATACAAGGCTAGGATGGGCACTGTCTGTATCGTTAATAGAATACAAGGCTAGGTTGGGCATCATCATCATGGCATTCATAATCTCATTAGGCCAAAACAAATTCTTTTGTGTCCCCTTACCTACCTACGGAAAAATTATTGTGCTTACCCTAATTTTTTTATTGGCATTTAGTGATATGGACTGTTATAAGCATAGTTAAGTTATTTTCCACAATAAAAAAAATTTGCCTACCTACCCTATTTTTTCTGAGGATGAAAGCTGATTCACAAGTAAAAAAAATGGCCTTGTATACATGTATTAATTTAAAACTTTAACAAAAGCATATCGAAATCTTGTCAAGACATTGAAGGTAATTTTGTTATTTCATATCTTTTCACAGATTTTTCTGACAAAATAGGTGGACATTTCCGCACGGGATATGATGCCTCCAAAACAGAGTATGAAATGGTAAATAAGATTTTCTAGTCATGTACTTCATCATATTTTGATATCAAATGTCGTATTTGGTACCATTTATTTCTGTGTGGCAGTTAAACTTTACAATATTTACAACATTTGCATATTTATTATTTGTTTCTTTAAGTTATATGATTTTGAGTTTAGTGTAAAAAGTACATGTATCTGGATTCTCTTAACTGGCTTGCTCAGACAAGTTGAAATAAGCAGTTAGCAGTAATTCTGTGATTTTTACAGAATCTCTTCCTTATATAAGATGTAACTTTGCTTTGTATAAAAAAAAAAAATGGAAACAAACACAAAATTTTTTTTGCTGTCCTCTTTTGTGTTTTTAGTGGGTTCATATCCAGAAAATATATCTTTTTTAAATATGAAGTGTTCTGAATCAAATAGCATGTCAGGGTCAAAGAGCTGGACAGTATTATCAATACTTAAAGATGAGAGTGATTTGATTACATTATGTATTTGTTTGTTATGTTGTCTGTTAAATCTATTATCAATTTCCAACACCCTGGGGTCATAAATCTAGTTGATTGAACACTTTCTCTTGGTTAGATAAAAGTGATGGTACTGACTGTATGCCTGATTTGGTTATGATTTAGCTGGAGGAAGGAGCAGGGAAGATGGAGTCCCCACAGCAAAAGTTTCAGAGGCTGCAACATGAAATAAGAGAACTGTCTGAAGAAGTTCGCAGGATCCAGGTATGTAAAGTTCACAGAATCCAGGTATGTAAAGTTCACAGAATCCAGGTACTTACAGTCCACAGGATCCAGGTACGTAAAGTTCCCAGGATCCAGGTACGTACAGTTCACAGGATCGAGGTACGTAAAGTTCACAGGATTCTGGTACGTAAAGTTAACAGGATCCAGGTACGTAAAGTTCATAGGATCCAGGTACGTAAAGTTCACAGAATCCAGGTACGTAAAGTTCACAGGAACGTAAAGTTCACAGGATCTAGGTACGTACAGTTGGCAGGATCCAGGTACGTAAAGTTCATAGGATCCAGGTACGTAAAGTTCATAGGATCCAGGTACGTAAAATTCAGGTACGTACAGTTCACAGGATCCAGGGACGTAAAGGTCACAGGATCCAGGTACGTAAAGTTCATAGGATCCAGGTACGTAAAATTCAGGTACGTACAGTTCACAGGATCCAGGGACGTACAGTTCACAGGATCCAGGTACGTAACGTTCACAGGATCCAGGTACGTACAGTTGACAGGATTAAGGGAGGAAAAGTTCACAGGATCCAGGTACGTAAGGTTCACAGGATCCAGGTACTTACAGTTCACAGGATTCAGGTACGTAAAGGTCACAGGATCCAGGAACGTAAAGTTCACAGGATTCAGGTCCGTACAGTTCACAGGATCCAGGTACATAAAGTTCACAGGATCCAGGTACGTAAAGTTCATAGGATCCAGGTACGTAAAATTCAGGTACGTACAGTTCACAGGATTCAGGTACGTAAAGTTCACAGAATCCAGGTACGTAAAGTTCACAGGTACGTAAAGTTCACAGGATTCAGGTACGTACAGTTCACAGGATTCAGGTACGTAAAGTTAACAGGATCCAGGTACGTAAAGTTCATAGGATCCAGGTACGTAAAGTTCCCAGGATCCAGGTACGTACAGTTCACATGATCCAGGTACGTAAAGTTCACAGGAACGTAAAGTTCACAGGATTCAGGTACGTACAGTTCACAGGATCCAGGGACGTACAGTTCACAGGATCCAGGCACATAAAGTTCACAGGATCCAGGTACGTACAGTTGACAGGATTAAGGGAGGAAAAGTTCACAGGATCCAGGTACGTATAGTTCACAGGATTCAGGTACGTAAAGTTCACAGAATCCAGGTACTTACAGTCCACAGGATCCAGGTACGTAAAGTTCACAGAATCCAGGTACGTAAAGTTCACAGAATCCAGGTATGTAAAGTTCGCAGAATCCAGGTATGTAAAGTTCGCAGAATCCAGGTATGTAAAGTTCGCAGAATCCAGGTATGTAAAGTTCACAGAATCCAGGTACGTAAAGTTCACAGCATCCAGGTACGTACAGTTCACAGGATCCAGGCACATAAAGTTCACAGGATCCAGGTACTTACAGTTCACAGGATTCAGGTACGTAAAGTTCACAGAATCCAGGTATGTAAAGTTCACAGAATCCAGGTACTTACAGTTCACAGGATTCAGGTACGTAAAGTTCACAGAATCCAGGTATGTAAAGTTCGCAGAATCCAGGTATGTAAAGTTCACAGAATCAAGGTATGTAAAGTTCACAGAATCAAGGTATGTAAAGTTCACAGAATCAAGGTATGTAAAGTTCACAGAATCAAGGTATGTAAAGTTCACAGAATCCAGGTACGTAAAGTTCACAGCATCCAGGTACGTACAGTTCACAGGATTAAGGTACGTAAAGTTCACAGGATCCAGGGACGTAAAGTTCACAGGATCCAGGGACGTAAAGGTCACAGGATCCAGGTACGTAAAGTGCACAGAATCCAGGTACTTACAGTCCACAGGATCCAGGTACGTAAAGTGCACAGAATCCAGGTACTTACAGTTCACAGCATTCAGGTACGTAAAGTTCACAGGACCCAGGTACGTAAAGTTCACAGGATCCAGGTACGTAAAGTTCATAGGATCCAGGTACGTAAAGTTCACAGGATCTTGTATTGTTTTCAGTTTGAATTCATTGTCACTTACTTATTTTATAAGGTTTCTATTTTTGCGTTAATTTAGGGTGGGGGGGGGTGGGGGGAAAAATTTGAGTATTTAGCAAATAGTTTCAGGACAAAAAGGAACAAAATGCGGTTTTAATAGTTGTTTCTTGTGTGAATTAAAACGGAAGAGCAATTACAAAAACCAGTATTCACAAAAATAAATGTGAATTTTAGTATTTTCCTTTCCATGAAACCTGTTAACAGATGTGTGGCGATTATGTCCTATAACTGATATTAATGTGTTGTGTTTTACTGTGACATTAAGTTTTAAAACTCAATATTCACAGGACAATGTGAAACAGGAGTCGACCTCGGAGAAGATGACACCAGTCTCCCTGGGTAAACAGTTGGATTATCTACAACATCAACTAAATGACCTTCACCTTGAGAAAATTCTTGGTCCGGAGGCTGGCATTAACCTTGCTGACCCTCAGGGTGCTTTGCAAAAGTAGGTATCCTGTGTTCTTTTCAGGGATTTCAATTTTTTTTATCAGATTGGTTATATTCTCGCAATAAAAATCTACACCTGTCTGAATTTGAGTTCACAAAAATGTTGATGGCGATTAACTCTTTTTAATGTTGAATTGTGATAAGCTGTCCCAAAAAGAATTTTGAGTTCAATATCTGTATAAAAAACATAAGTTATATAACTTTAAAAATAATATTTAATCTTCCTTATTAGTCCCCTACCGGTAAAACCGAGGGGACTATAGGTTTCCTCTCTGTCCCTCTGTGTACGTACGTAACACCAATGTTTGTCAGCGCTCTAGCGGCTTCATTCCTTGAGGGATTTTGATCAAACTTCACATAAATACAAAGGACCATAATATCTCGGACAAGTTCAAATTTCAGGTTTCTTAGGTCAGGGTCAAGGTCATAGTTACTTTTTTTTTTGTCGCCTGCGAAAAGCTGGTGACACATAGGAATTGCTTTGTCGGCGTCGTCGTCCGAACAGAGGTTTTCGTGCGATAACTTGAGTTTCCTTGGGCCGATCATACTCAAACTTCATGCAGTGCTTCCTTACCAAAAGTGCTTGCTTGGGATTGCTTTTCAGGTCCGAAGGTCAAAGGTCAAGGTCACTGATACTATAAATAGAAAATTTGTTTTCGTACGATAACTTGATTTTCCTTGGGCCGATCAAACTCAAACTTCATGCAGTGCTTCCTTACTAAAAAGTGCTTGCTATGGATTGTTTTTCAGGTCTGAAGGTCAAAGGTCAAGGTCACTGTTACTATAAATAGAAACTTCACTAAAACTGTTTACTGGACGGCTTCGATCTACCACTGGACCCACCGTGTATACCTCTGAAATTCCGCCTTACTCCAAACGTTATTGACAACACTAGCCGTTTAACATCATAATCCACAAGTTTATTCATTTATTTATGGGAAACCATCCGACAAATCATACAAATTAAACTTGGAATTGAGACAATGAGTATCCATAGCAAGTTCCTTAAATTCTTCCCAGAATAACAGATTATATAACAAAATGTTGCCATCCAAAAACATAATCTATGATTATTGCTTACTTTTAACATTATTTCTTGAAATGAAAAGTGTATCTATTTCTTCGTAATCTCCCAGCTTCCTGCGCAGGCGACACATCCACCTCCGTGGAATTCTTGTTTAGAAAATCCTTGTCAGCGCTCTAGCAGCTTCATTCCTTGAGGGATTTTGGTCAAACTTCATACAATTACAAAGGACTATAATATCTCGGACAAGTTTGAGTTTCAGGGTTGTAGAGTTGAGGTCAAGGCCACCGTTACTATTAATACAAAATCCTGGACAAGTTGAAGCCAGGGATAGACTGATGATCGATATTTAATAATCCTGTCCTGTTCGATTCCGATTATCGGTATAAAATTCCATAATCGATATAATCGGTTCATTACTGAACTTATGGTGTCAAATTTGTGTGTAATATATAGTATACATGGCAATTAATTTATTCTGATTTTTTTTTACAAAATGATTGATGGTAATGTAGAATAGAAAAATTACATTAAAATCAGTTACAAGGTAATTGAATACTTTTCATTTTTCCCAAATTAACACCAAAGGGCACCATTTTTAGCTCACTGGGTCCGAAGGACCAAGGTGAGCTTATGCCATACCGTGGCGTCCGTCGTCCTTATGTCAACAATTTCTTTAAACAACTTCTTCTTAACCACTGATTCGAATTCAACTAAATTTGGCTGGAAGTGGTGATTCAAAATTGTACAAATGGTTGGGCCGACTAAAGGGGTCAATTTGGCTATATTGCTTTAAGCGACTTCTCCTCAGGAACTAACAGATGGATATCAACCATATTTGACTGGAAGCATCCTTAAGTAGTGGAGATTCAAAATTGTACAAATGGTGGGGCTGACCCCCTAGGGGGCTGGAGGGCGGGGGCAATTTGGCTATATTGCTACAAACGACTTCTTCTGTAGAACTATGCACTGGATATCAATCATATTTGATCAAAAGCATTCCTGGGAGGCAGGGATTCTAAATTGTACAAATGGAGGGATTGAGGGGCGGGGGCCACAAAAAAGGGGATTTGGCTATATTGCTTTAAGCGACTTCTTCTCCGGAACTAAGAGATGGATATCAACCATATCAACCATATTTGACTGGAAGCATCCCTAGGTAGTAGAGAGTAGGGGGACATGTATTTGGTTGCTTTAGCAAACTCAGTATGCGTGTTTGATATATCTCATAATGTAAACAGTCCTGTCCTAGCAGTGATTGTATTTCAGCACTTTTCAAACTATCGATGTTTATGCTAATTCATGCACAAATCTTAAAAGTATATATTTTCAGAAATACTTTTGCTCAAGGTATAAATCATTATGAAAGGATGATAACTTAATTTAAAATGCAAACTTTGGGACATTTTTGAACAAAAACCTAGTGAAAGACCTCTAGGTATTCCATCACTCTAGTCACACCTTTTATGGGTCAATCCTGTCAGTAATCTGACAGGCCATATTATCATTCTATATTACCTGAAATCATCATTTTCCTTGATTAGGAATATTTTTCAAGAACTTTAATTATTGAAACGTCTCTGCGAGGTGTTTTTACTAGTGGTGAGAATCAAGTGAAATTTCATAATCGATGGTTGGTTTAACGAAATATTTGAAAATCTGTTCGACACATCTTAACGTATATGATTAAGTTTGATAACATTCTGACAACAATTTCTTTTGAAATTGAGCACCTTTTCCCTATGGCAATATATTAAAAACAATAATAATATACAACATTTGATATAGCGCCCTATCTAGCTAGAATAAGTCGCTCTAAAGCACTTTACAGCACATAGATATAATTTAAACAATCAATACAATTAGCATATACATTAATCAATAAAATTTGAGGAATTCACAGGAGCTGTCTTATCAGGCGCTAACTACTAGTCCTATGCCACCTGGCTAATATCTCCTTATGTGTGTATGCCTGCGTTTGTGCTGGAGATAAATTAAGATACGTGTCGCAATATATTCCTTCTGTATTGCAATATATGGAGATACTTTCCAAGCGTATTGTGCCATCCCTACATTTAACGGTGTAATACTTTTCTGCAGAAGACTGATGACCCAGCTGGATTCCTTCCAGTGTGGAGGAGCTGACACTAAAGGAAAGACTCCAACTAAAGGAAAGTCGGAAGGTTCAGCCGACTGTGTCACGTACGAGCTGTATTATAGACCAGAACAGGCTCAGTTCAGTAAAAACGCCAGGGTAGGTAACTCTGCCTTTACTGTATACAAACCACACTCATTTATCTAGCCACCTTTGTTTTCGTCTGAATGTGGCGGGATTCTGTTTAATAGAAAATAAGAAATTTGTTCCAAAAATCACTGGCTGGGTAGTGGGACAACCAGATTAGTGGTAGCAAAAAAGCCTTTCTCTAGCCAAACGCTACTTGAATTGTATGTCAATACTTCACATATTTCATGAAAATAATTTCCATTGAATTCTATGTAAAATCAATGTTAAAATCGAAAATTTTGTTGTTGGGAATTTTGATAAAACACTGCCTAAGTTTGTATGCATGTACCTCATATGATGGTAAGGTGTCACTTACTGGTAACAGGTCTTATGCCCTACTATATACAGAGGTATGGCATATTATTCAATTGTTGATACCAAAGTTTGTCCTGAGATCATGTATAGCTTGCAATACTTTGCCTTGTTGACTGTTACAGCTGGCCAGTCTAGAAGAAAGACTTGAGAGGTTGGAAGCAGCAATAGGTCAGAACCAAGAAAAACTGGTAAATGATTGTTTATGTATCTTATCCATGTTATAACTTGAGGCCTTAGTACTTAGAAAGGTGCTTAATAAGTGCTGGGTATATTTAGGAGTTTGACTTGATTTCCAGGAATACCATATTTCCATCAAGAGACTCGTAAATTAGGCACACAAGCACAAGGAGGTGAGCATGCTATTTTGAGTGAGAAAAGAAATGAAAAATTTATGTTTCTGATTTTCAATTTGGCCAAACAAAAAATATGTTTGTTTCCTCTAAGATATTTGAATAAATAAGGGTATAGGTATCAAATTCTATTTTAAAAAATAATTGTATATGGTGTATATAGGAGATTGCCACCCTTCTAATTTGTAACACTATTTCTGATTGGATATCTTGCTGGGGTCTATATTTCTATATAGACCCCGCTCTGCTGGGGTCTATTAAAGCATGTACGAGGGGAGATAACTCACACTAGAATCTTGCTGCATAACAACAAAGATGGCGTACAACACACTCAAGGGCTTGCCAATCATTCAGATGATGAAATAGCCTACAAGCAATCTAAAATGACAGCAAATTCAACGAAACAGGCAATGAGGGGGCCTTTGGGGTGCTTATAATAATAAACTTTATTTATTGAGGATAAAATACATGTTTAGCCAAAGGCTAATCTTCCACATGGTCCTCTGGTTAGTAAAATATATGTGTTAGATAAAATAACGTATTTACGCAATCAATATATAAACATGGTAATCTTGCTAGTAAAATACATGTGCTAGTTAAAAGTTACATATATATTGATGCAATCAACACATTTATAAGGTTATATCACAGTTATCTTAGTTAAGAGTATCACAGAATGCATAAAGTTTCATGCAAAGGTAGTAGTCAGGACAGACTCACAAAGTGACTTATAATTTTGCAGAAAAAAAAAGTAATAAAAGATTGTCATGGTGGCAAATTCGTTATCTCTGGTTTAGGAGGGGTCTACAGGCTCATAGACCCCTCCTTACCCAGGGATAACTGGTTTAGGAGGGGTCTACAGGCTCATAGACCCCTCCTAACCCAGAGATAACTGGTTTAGGGGGGGTCTACAGGCTCATAGACCCCTCCTTACCCAGAGATAACTGGTTTAGGAGGGGTCTACAGGCTCATAGACCCCTCCTTACCCAGGGATAACTGGTTTAGGAGGGGTCTACAGGCTCATAGACCCCTCCTAACCCAGAGATAACTGGTTTAGGGGGGGTCTACAGGCTCATAGACCCCTCCTTACCCAGAGATAACTGGTTTAGGAGGGGTCTACAGGCTCATAGACCCCTCCTAACCCAGAGATAACTATTTTAGGAGGGGTCTACAGGCTCAGACCCCTCCTTACCCAGAGATAACTGGTTTAGGAGGGGTCTACAGGCTCAGACCCCTCCTTACCCAGAGATAACTGGTTTAGGAGGGGTCTACAGGCTCATAGACCCCTCCTTACCCAGAGATAACTAATAATGATCTGGACTTCTGATGCTTTTTTGAAAAATGCCTAAACAGTTTAGGGTTGGCACAAAAGATCAGGGTATACAAAGGTAGATATTTTTGTTTGGCTTTGAGTATGTTCCTTTACCTAGATTGAGTTACCACATGCTATGTGTATATATTGACTTGTTTATTATGCATATTACATTTTGTTCTTCTGTTACAATTGCTTATTCATATATTGTTTGGAAGATTTTAAAGTGTTATTGTTTGGAAGATTTTAAAGTGTTATTGATTGGGAGATTTTAACGTGTTATTGATTGGAAGATTTTTAAGTGTTATTGATTGGGAGATTTTAACGTGTTATTGATTGGAAGATTTTAAAGTGTTATTGATTGGAAGATTTTAAAGTGTTATTGTTTGGAAGATTTTAAAGTGTTATTGTTTGGAAGATTTTTAAGTGTTATTGTTTGGGAGATTTTAAAGTGTTATTGATTGGAAGATTTTAAAGTGTTACTTTATTTTACAGAGTGTACTAACAGCTGATACTGCCAACAAAAGTCTTGTGGTAAGTTTTGTATTGACCAGTGTAACAAAACCGGCTGTAAATTAGGTAATTTGTGATGAGGAATGGAACCATCTTATAAGATGTAAGATAAAGGATATCAATAGAAAGCAGCACTTTGGTCAAAAGTCCATTTGAGCTGGTACCTACTCATGAATAGTTAATGTTGTATAGATTGTTAAAAGTACTTTGGGAGAATTGTATAGGGAGTTAGCAGTCTAGAGTCAGAGTCTAGAGTGGAGAGATGGTATTCGAGGTTCAAGAATGTGAGCCTCTTGAGAGACAGGCCAGGGAAGGCCTCGGCCATAGGGGGCAGGGAAGGCCCTGGTACAGCACTTTGTGTGCTTTAGAACTATGGGTTTGATGTTGTAACTCTATATACGGTAATCTGTGTACATGCAGATCTGCTGTCATGTTCCAGAACTGTGTTAAAAAGGACATTGGCTTTAATTTAAGAGAGATCTTACAAAGAGGGCCTACTTGGGGTCCTTAATCTTACAAAGAGGACCTACTTGGGGTCCTTAATCTTACATAGAGGGCCTATTCGGGGTCCTTAATCTTATAAAGAGGGCCTACTCGGAGTCCTTAAATCTTACAAAGAGGGCCTACTCGGGGTCCTTAAATCTTACAAAGAGGGCCTACTCGGGGTCCTTAAATCTTACAAAGAGGGCCTACTCAGGGTCCTTAGACATTGTCCTGCCAGTGTTCATTCGTAGAAAGGAATCTTTGTTTGTCACATGTGGAAGCTTTTATTACTGCATGCTAACTGTCCAAAAACATAGTATATTAGCTATTTCTGCATAGCAATGCATTTTGTTACTATGGTAGGGCATCTATGCAGACGCTTGGAAAAAAAATTGCACCAAGAAAGATAGCCACAATTAACCCATATGATGTTTATAACAGTAATCGGTAAATAAATTCAAGTTGCAATTTTCACTTTTTATGAGGCTGAAAAATACCCATAATGCCCCAAGTCCTTTCCTGTTTAGTATATATGGTAGCTTACTCTTGGTGTTTAGTATATATGGTAGCTTACTCTTGGTGTTTAGTATATATGGTAGCTTACTCTTGGTGTTTAGTATATATGGTAGCTTACTCTTGGTGTTTAGTATATATGGTAGCTTACTCTTGGTGTTTAGTATATATGGTAGCTTACTCTTGGTGTTTAGTATATATGGTAGCTTACTCTTGGTGTTTAGTATATATGGTAGCTTACTCTTGGTGTTTAGTATATATGGTAGCTTACTCTTGGTGTTTAGTATATATGGTAGCTTACTCTTGGTGTTTAGTATATATGGTAGCTTACTCTTGGTGTTTAGTATATATGGTAGCTTACTCTTGGTGTTTAGTATATATGGTAGCTTACTCATTGTTACCAATGTTACATGTATTGTGTGTTTTACCAATGTTCCAGGGTGCAGTGGCTGTTGTGAATTCCAAGCTTTCCTTACTAGAACAGTCCAATCTAGATCAGGTGGAGGCCCGACTTCAAGGGGTACTACATAAACTTAAAGAGATTGTTGAGAAAAAGTCTGCTGTGCAGGACGATCCTGACAAACAGAACAAGGTATGAACCTACTTTATTGTGTCAAGCTTGAATAAGTAAAATTACCTGTTTAATAATAAAGGTATTGTTTGGTCCATTAGTAGGTTCTTTCATTGTCTGGCATGATTACAGATTAGAAAATGTAATTCCTTTTGAGGTAATATATTGTTATCAAAATAAAGACCTGAACAAAAACATTGTGAAAAAACAAGATATGGTGGTTGAGTGGTTAAGGCATCTGACCATCTACAATCACTAGTCCTCTACCACTGGGTCGTGGTGGTCGAGCGGTTAAGGCATCTGACCATCTACAATCACTAGTCCTTTACCACTGGGTCGTGGTAGTCGAGTGGTTAAGGTGTCTGACCGTCTACAATCACTAGTCCTCTACCACTGGGTCATGGTAGTCGAGTGGTTAAGGTGTCTGACCATATACAATCACAAGTCCTCTACCACTGGGTCGTGGTGGTAGAGTGGTTAAGGCATCTGACCATCTACAATCCCTAGTCCTCTACCACTGGGTCGTGGTAGTCGAGTGGGTAAGGCATCTGACCATCTACAATCACAAGTCCACTACCACTGGGTCGTGGTGGTCGAGTGGTTAAGGCATCTGACCATCTAAAATCACCAGTCCTCTACCACTGGGTCGTGGTGGTCGAGCGGTTAAGGCATCTGACCATCTACAATCACTAGTCCCCTACCACTGGGTCGTGGTGGTCGAGTGGTGAAGGCATCTGACCATCTACAATCACTAGTCCCCTACCACTGGGTCGTGGTGGTCGAGTGGTGAAGGCATCTGACCATCTACAATCACTAGTCCTCTACCGCTGGGTCGTGGTGGTCGAGTGGTTAAGGCATCTGACCATCTCCAATCACAAGTCCTCTACCACTGGGTCGTGGTGGTCTAGTGGTTAAGGCATCTGACCATCTACAATAACTAGTCCTCTACCACTGTGTCGTGGTGGTCGAGTGGTTAAGGCATCTGACCATCTCCAATCACAAGTCCTCTACCACTGGGTCGTGGTGGTCTAGTGGTTAAGGCATCTGACCATCTACAATAACAAGTCCTTTACCACTGGGTCCTGGTGGCCGAGTGGTTAAGGTATCTGACCATCTACAATCACAAGTCCTCTACCACTGGGTCGTAGTCGAGTGGTTAAGGCATCTGACCATCTACAATCACTAGTCCTCTGCCACTGGGTCGTGGTAGTCGAGTGGTTAAGGTGTCTGACCGTCTACAATCACTAGTCCTCTACCACTGGGTCGGGGTAGTCGAGTGGTTAAGGCATCTGACCATCTTCAATCACACGTCCTCTACCACTGGGTCGTGGTGGTCGAGTGGTTAAGGCATCTAACCATCTACAATCACAAGTCCTCTACCACTGGGTCGTGTTGGTCGAGTGGTTAAGGCATCTAACCATCTACAATCACTAGTCCCCTACCACTGGGACGTGGTAGTCGAGTGGGTAAGGCATCTGACCATCTACAATCACTAGTCCTTTACCACTGGGTCGTGGTAGTCGAGTGGTTAAGGCGTCTGACCATCTACAATCACTAGTCCTCTACCGCTGGGTCGTGGTGGTCGAGTGGTTAAGGCATCTAACCATATACAATCACTAGTCCCCTACCACTGGGTCGTGGTGGTCGAGTGGTTAATGCATCTGACCATCTACAATCACTAGTCCCCTACCACTGGGTCGTGGTGGTCGAGTGGTTAAGGTGTCTCACCATCTACAATCACTAGTCCTCTACCACTGGGTCATGGTAGTCGAGTGGTTAAGGTGTCTGACCATATACAATCACAAGTCCTCTACCACTGGGTCGTAGTCGAGTGGTTAAGGCATCTGACCATCTGCAATCACAAGTCCTTTACCACTGGGTCCTGGTGGCCGAGAGGTTAAGGCATCTGACCATCTACAATCACTATTCCTCGACCACTGGGTCGTGGTAGTCGAGTCGTTCAGGTGTCTGACCATATACAATCACAAGTCCTCTACCACTGGGTCGTAGTGGTCGAGTGGTTAAGGCATCTGACCCTCTACAATCACTAGTCCTCTACCACTGGGTCGTGGGAGTCGAGTGGTTAAGGCATCTGACCATCTACAATCACAAGTCCTTTACCACTGGGTCCTGGTGGCCGAGTGGTTAAGGCATCTGACCATCTACAATCACAAGTCCTCTACCACTGGGTCGTGGTAGTCGAGTTGTTAAGGCATCTGACCATCTACAATCACAAGTCCGCTACCACTGGGTCGTGGTGGTCGAGTGGTTAAGGCATCTAACCATGGACAATCACAAGTCCTCTACCACTGGGTCGTGGTAGTCGAGTGGTTAAGGCATCTGACCATCTACAATCACAAGTCCTCTACCACTGGGTCGTGGTGGTCTAGTGGTTAAAGCATCTGACCATCTACAATCACTAGTCCTTTACCACTGGGTCGTGGTAGTCGAGTGGTTAAGGCATCTGACCATCTACAATCACAAGTCCTTTACCACTGGGTCGTGGTAGTCGAGTGGTTAAGGGGTCGTGGTGGTCGAGTGGTTAAGGCATCTAACCATGGACAATCCCAAGTCCTCTACCACTGGGTCGTGGTAGTCGAGTGGTGAAGGCATCTGACCATCTACAATCACAAGTCCTCTACCGCTGGGTCGTGGTGGTCGAGTGGTTAAGGCATGTGACCATCTACAATCACAAGTCCTCTACCCCTGGGTCGTGGTGGTCGAGTGGTTAAGGCATCTGACCATGGACAATCACAAGTCCTCTACCACTGGGTCGTGGGGGTCGAGCGGTTAAGGCATCTGACCATCTACAATCACAAGTCCTCTACCACTGGGTTGCAGGGTCGACGCCTACTTGGGGCAGTTGCCAGGTAATGGCAGCAGGCCGGTGTTTTTTCTCCGGACACTCCAGCTTTCCTCCACCACCAAAGCCTGGTACATCCTTCAATGAACATAGCTGTTAATTAATATGATGTAAAATATGAAACAGAAAATTAAAAAACAAAAACTGGCTACAAAATCAAATTTAAGTATAATTTACAATTTTGTTTTACCTTCAAATCCTGTGATAAGAAGGAATCTAAGATAAATAAATCAGTAAAGTTCAGCATCTGTCCAGTTATGTCTGTTAGCTGTTCAGTGATTGGTCAGATTTGGCTGTAATTTTTGTTTTCACAGATTGCAGAGCTGTATGACCTAGTTAAGAAGTGGAACAGTGTATCAGAAACGTTACCTCAAGTGGTGGACCGTCTGGCTGCTCTCAAGGAACTACACGAACAAGGTCAGCAGCATGTTCACTCCCGCCACAATTGTTACCTCAGTACCAGTTATCACACCTGCTCTAGGTGTCCCACCTGTCCATACAAGCTTTGCCTATCACACTAGTCCTGAGGGTTACATCAGCCCCGGCTATTACACAGGCCTTGCTAGTCACACCAGTCAGTCAAATAAACTCACTTGTCACACCAGTCAGTCAAATAAACTCACTTGTCACACCAGTGGTAATTGCCACAAAAGACTTTCACAGCAACACTAACTACTGTAGAATCATTTATTTTCGTGTGGTTAACATTTTATGGTTTTCATATACTGTACTAGCCTGTTTCATGGACATTATATTTTGTTGATTTCTGATTTTCCCCTATCTATATCATACCATATTTATATTTTCGTGGGGATTTAATTTCGTGGATTTTTGTTATCTACGAAATAAACGAAATTTAATGTTCAACTTACAGTTGTCCTGGTTGTTGCACCATTCTTGATAGTCCTGCCTGTTTTACTTGTCACACTAGTAGTGCTATCCTGTCTTGTCTGTCCATTCATCTATCTGTCTATCTGTCTGTAGTCAGAGAGTATGCCTACACAAGTCCTAGTAAAATACAGCACTGATTGCAATTACATTTTGCACATATCTTACATATCATATGAACATGAATCTCATAGTGTTTATCTGTATCTGCTGTGTTGTTTTGATCCCTTTTTAAAGAGTTTGCCCTGGACCTTATATTGTTTATGAGTATCAACTTAATTTCATGCAATCTTAATTAATGTACTTAGAATCCTCTTCAAAGACTTGATAGGTGGCAAATAGAATATGGGGGTCATCAGGGGTAGTAAGTAAGTATTAATTTTGTAAATAATTGACTTTGCATAGATATAGGTTTGAGACTCTGAGATCATTGCTGTGTTTTTAATAGAATGACAATGTTGGTTTTTACTAATGTTTCATGTTGTGTGTTGTTTATTACAGCATTACAATTTAGTCAATCTCTGACCTACTTGGACACGGCCCAGCAGGAAATAGCTACCAGTCTAAACACCCATGGAGATATGCTTAAACAAGTAAGTGTATTGGTTTTATTTGGGAAAATACCCAGTATTATTAAGTTGAATATATCAAAAAACAAAAATACTCAAACAAGCAGAAAAAAACGACCCCCAAAAAAACCCAAACAAACAAATGAAAAGTTTTTAAAAAAAAAACTACAAAAAAAAGCTACAGATATAAATGTTTAATCTGATTTATTGAAAATGACATATTTTGTATCATAATAATAATATTTAAATGTTTCAGCTTCAAGGTACTTTCAAACAAAATATGGATGTGATCAAGGCTAATTGTGCAAGTCTTGACAACAGAGTGAAAGCTCTACAAAAGTGAAGACCCTGTATCAGACTTTTAACATAGTGCTGCCAACAAAGGATGCAAGACCTGTACCAAATACTGCCACTCGCCGTTCCAAGACCTGTAACCACCTATAAAGTTACTGCCTCTTTAGGTCGCAAGATTTGTAACCAAATAGTGGCACTCCAGGTTGCAAGATTTGTAGCCAAATAGTGACACTCCAGGTTGCAAGATTTGTAACCAAATAGTGGCACTCCAGGTCGCAAGACTTGTAACTAGTTAAAGCCAGTTCAAGGTGCAAGTTTTGAAGCTATATACTATATATAGCACTACCACGTTAGGGTGCAATACTTATTTTGCCAAATATACACTATTTTGGAGGCAAGAGTGGTTACTAAATACTTTGAGATTAGGTGATAAGACTTTTATCTAAGTTTAGCCTATTTAGGTTAGAACTGAACAAGGCAAGAGTGCAAACAATTGTGTTCCCTCTGAAACTTTGTAACTTGTATCGCTGTTAACTTTAGGTAACGGGGTGGGAATAACTCCCATATAGGTCAATGATTGATGGGTTTTATTTCTCTGCTTCTTTCCCATATATGTATTGTGATAGTCTTCAATTGTAATTCCACTCTTAGTATATGCCATGTCATTCGGATTTGTTTATTACAATGAAAGCTCATTGCTTCATGGAATTGCTTTTTGTGTACAACAGATAATAGTTGTCTGTACGCTAGTTTCTGTGCACCATGGAAACTCCTAGACTAGACTTCCTTGTTTGTGTAGACTTAAAAAACTATTGTCGGAAATTGATGCTTTCCAAGACTAAAGCTTGTTCACTATTTTTGAAAGAAAGTAAATTGTCAGTTGTAAAAACTGAAATTGGAGCAAAATGTTTTGGAAATTTGTTCCGACCACATTCTGTATAGTAAGTATTAGGAGTTTGTGTCATTAAGTGCTAAGATGTCTAGATCATATGCTGTCTGTTAGTGTCTGTCAGGTGTAAATGAAGTTTAATTTATGTTCAGAATTGTTTTAATGGTGTATTGCAAAGTTATGCTGGAACAAAATTACTATGCTTATGCTTCATTTGAAAAATATGTATTTAAACTTCATATCTTATTTATTTCTAAAGCAGATCATGGCATTATTTGTTTTATTGTTTATATTAACAACACATACAAGGAGTTCAGGAGAAAAAATATTCCAACAATATTGTTTTGTGTTAAGTTTGCATATATAGATGTAAATTGTACGGCTTTTTGAATTTCATTATATGATGCTAAAACGTAGCATGAATGTGCATACGCCTGTATTGTAGTCATGTATCTAGTCGAAACATTTGTTATTCAATCTTATTCAGATGTTTCTTTCAATCTTATTCAGATTTCTCTTCAAATGTAAATTTGATGCCTGAATCAGAGAGGAAATAAATTGAGTCATCTTGGCTTTACGGATCAAACAGTATAAAATGCTTAAACCAGCCCCTCTCTAAACTAACCCCTCTCTAATCCAGCCCCTCTCTTATCCAGATTCTTCTCTGCACTGGCTTTGACATTTGGTCCCAGCATTCCTCTTGAAACCTACATATTATTGTAAATAACTTTTAAAAAGTTTATTTTTCTGTTCCAACAACCGTGCTATACTTCCAGATATTGATTCACAAACTCACTGACTACATGTTTAAACCAAATCCTGTATAAAGGGACAACATAGTCTGGCTATATCCAGTCTAGACAGGCTACACTAATACCATACTTATAAAACAAAAACGTTTTCTTTTTTGACTGGAATGGTGATGGATACATGTATGAGTTTCCACTTTTAAATTTATTTAATTGTACATGTCTTTAGGAAAACATGGATTTCGGTTTTGTAACTTAACTTTCATCATTTACATAAATGTGAGCATATGGTTGATTTGAAGGGTCTGATATTGTAAGCATAAACTGAACAGCAGAACCTTATTACATTCTAGACTTTGAAAAATAAGGGGAGAGTACTTTCTGGATATCTGCAGCATCATAGAACTGGAGTCAAAATTGCTTCCAGACTTTTTCAGAGGCCAAAGAATCCAGAATATTTTGATTAAGTTCCATTGTACATGAAGTTTATATAGAAACCATATAAGAATGTGCAGGCTAAACTAGAACTTTATTGTCTATATTTATTGCCATTAAACATGAAAATAAAATGTTTCAGTTTTCATGCAACTTAATTTCTTGCGTTCGTTTTCTGTTGTAAAGCTTGAAACATAGTATAAATTATATACGATTCCCCTAGTATATAATATTATATACGATATACGATTCCCCTAGTATATAATATTATATACGATATATGATTCCCCTTGTTTCATTAACCATCAGCATATTCATGTTTCCCATTTTCCTTAAAAAAATCCCCAATATGTATCCCTGTATATATTCCAAATTCCCCTTATATGTAGAGTTGTGATCCTATGCTAACTTACACCTGTGGTTTGTGATAAACTTTTCTCCCACCTCTGTGTATGAAAGATGAATGTGTTCTTTGTGAAACACCCTTGTAGGATACATGTATGCCACATAGTTGCATCTGTGACATTTACAATTGTTAAGTCACAAACAGATGACAGTTTTGCCATGGTACGGCGTTTGTCGTCTGTCCAGCGTCAACTTTTTCTCAGTAACCAAAAGGCCTAGGAAGATGATTTTTGGCCAGTAGTATGCTTACATGAAGGGCTACCAAGTTTGTTCAAATGAATGACCTTCATCCATTTTCAAGGTCACAGGGGTCAAATATGTAAAAATCTTTTAACAACTTCTGGATAACCAAAATGCCCAGGGTAATGATATTTGGCCAGTAGCATGCTGAGATAAAGGACTACAAAGTTTGTTCAAATAAATGACCTTCACCCATAAACAACTTCTTCTGAATTACCAAAATGCACAGGGTGATGATATTTGGCCAGTAGCATGCTGGGGTAAAGGGCTATCATGTTTGTTCAAATGAATGACCTTCCCTTATATTCAAGGTCACAGGGGTCAAATATGTTTAAAACTGTAAACAACTTCTTCTGAATAACCAAAATGCACAGGGTGATGATCATTGGCCAGTAGCATGCTAGGGTAAAGGGCTATGAAGTTTGTTCAAATGAATGACCTTCACCTATATTCAAAGTCACAGGGGTCGAATATGTTAAAACTGTAAACAACTTCTGAATAACCAAAATGCCCAAGGTGATGATATTTAGTCAGTAGCATACTAGGATCAAGGGCTACCAAGTTTGTTTAAATGTATGACCTTGAATCATATTCAAGGTCACAAGGAGCAAATATGTTCAAAATATTTAAACAACTTGTTCTGAATAACCAAAAGGCTCAGGATGTTGATATTTTAGTCAGTAGCATGCCGGGATCAAGGACTACTATGTTTGTTAAAGTGAATGACTTTGACTTATATTCAAGGTCACAGGAGTCAAATTTGTTTAAAATCTTTAAAAGACCTCTCCGGAATAACCATGGGTTCCAGGATGTTGATACTTTGCAAATTGCATCCTGAGATGAAAGGCTATAAAATTTGTTCAACATAATGACTTTGTTCGACTTTCAATCACAGGGCTGGAATGTTTAAAAAAAAAATGGGTCTTTTGAATGAATTTTAATCATAAATACTGATATTTTGCCTGTAGCTTTATTTTAGATCACTTTTAAGGTTACAAGTGTGAGATTTATACCAGGTGAGTGATGCAGGCCCATTGGGCCTCTTGTTTATTCGAAACTCTCTTTCATACATCATATAAAGTTTCTGAAGGATAAGTGTTCCAAGGCGTTAAACATAATACGAGTCCTTTCTCATACTGATTGGGGAGCGGATGGTGAAATGCTTTTGCGCCTATACAGATCACTTATTCAAACAAAACTGGATTATGGTTCTATGGTATACGGGTCGGCGCGCAGTTCGTACCTGCAGATGGTAGACCCGATCCATAACCAAGGGCTACGTTTGCATTACATTTTGCAGCTCAATTTAAATCAAACCCTAAAAATCCTGCTTTCGACCAAGTATTCAACCCAAAATACCAAAACATATTTACGCAAAACCAAAAACTTCTGCCAAGATTTGGTATCCGAATTTCAAATTTCCTGCAAGAACTCAAAATAAAGTTGACGGACATAGCTGAATTTAACATATCTGATGTTCCCCCGTGGACCATTCAAACACCTGATTTTAACTTTGCATTACATGAGCGAGGGAAATCAAGTGTTATGCCCGAAGAACACAAATCCTCCTTTCGGGAATGCATTTTGAATTACCCTTCTCATACACAACTTTACACCGATGGTTCCAAAGAAGGTGAGAAAGTGGGAGCAGCCTGCTGTACTGCTAAGTCTTGCACTTCAGTTCGACTACCAGACGGCGCCTCCATCTTTTCTGCCGAAGCATGCGCCATTGGTTTGGCCCTCGACCATATCGATGAATACCGCATTAAAAGGGCAATCATATGTTCAGACTCTCTATCTGTCCTACAGAGTTTACAGTTACGAGATCCTAAAAACACACTCATACAAAACCTTGCTCTTCGAATATCTCATGATATTCGTATCTTAAATACGTCAAAAATAACTTTACTATGGATTCCGAGCCATGTCGGAATTAAAGGCAACGAATGTGTTGACAGGGAAGCAAAAAATGCATTAAATCTCCAACAAACAAATATCAAATTACCATACACAGATTTTAAGCCTAATATTCGTACAGCCATTCAAAATGAATGGCAGCAACGCTAGTCTCGAGAGACCACCAACAAACTTTTCAAGGTACAACCGACACTTAAAACATCTATTCCCAGTCGGAAAGATCTTAGAGAGGAAGTTGTCCTCGCTCGGCTCCGTACTGAGCACACATTCGTGATAATACTTTCGAGTCCAGGATATGAAAACTCTTTTCAGTTCCGTGGACTCGAAGGCATTATTTAACTATTTGAAAGACATCGGTCTACTCTATAGACTCTGATGTCTTTTAACTCACCTTACCCTTTTTGACGTTATATATCACATATTTCATACCATCTATTTGTTATCTCTTTTATTATTTTAACCCCCTTTTTATTATTAATTATCTACACATACAATGTGAATGCTTTTAACTGATTTTATCTAAGCTACTCACATGTTTGTTAAAAAAAATCGAAAATCAAAAAAAATCACCATGGCCCTAAATGACCACAGCCGTCGATGGGCCGTTAAACGTAAACAAACAAACAAACAAACAAACAAACAAACCTTTAAACATCTACTTCTGAATAACCAAGACGACTAGGTGTACATTCGCGTATCCAGTTGAAACGGTTGAACCGGTTGAACCTATAGAGAAAATGACAGGTACAGATCTGGACCGAGGCTGACCTCAGAAAAATTGGCATGTGTAGATTGACGGGTCCAGATGTACCTGACCGAAACTAAAATGCTGACTATTGGCAGTTTACGTTATTTCTTTCTAAAACAATGTCAACTCACATGTAGTTTTTAAGATACGTTATGTAATTTAGTGAACGGATGAAAGAAGGTCATAATATTCTTGAAACACTGTTTTTTATTCTCCGAAACTGTGTACTGCTTAGAGAACGGTCCAAGTGCGTTCGTTTATCGTGGAAAATTTCCGTACCACACGTACAGTTTCAATCGGGATACGTGAATGTAGCCTTGGGTGATGATATTCGGCCAGAAACATGCTGGGATAAAGAGCTATCAAGTTTGTTCAAATGAATGACCTTGACTTGTAATCAAGGTCACAGGGGTCAAATATGTTTAAAACCTATTAACAACTTCACCTGAATAACCCAGAGGCCTAGGATGATATTTGGCCAGTAACATGCTGGGATAAACTACCTAGTTTGTTCAAATAAATTACCTTGACTTATATCCAAAGTCACAGGGGTCAAAGTCTTTAAACATCTTCTGAATAATCAAGAGACATAGGGTGATGATATCTGGCCAGTAACATGCTTGAATGAAGGGCTACCAAGTTTGTTCAAACAAATGACCTTGACTTATATTCAAGGTCACAGGGGTCAAATATGTTTAAAACCTTTAAACAACTTCTTCTGAATAACCAAGATGCCAAAGGTGATGATATTTGGCCAGTATTATGCTGCGATGAAGGGCTACCAAGTTTGTTCAAATGAATAAACCTGACTTGGATTCAAGGTCACAGGGGTCAAATATATTGTAAACTGTAAACAACTTCTTTATAACAAAAAGGACCAGGGTGATGATATTTAGCCAGTAACATGCTGGGATAAAGGGCTACCAAGTTTGTTCAAATGAATTACCTTCACCCATTTGTAAGGTCACAGGGGTCAAATAAGTTGAAATCTTTAAACAACTTCTGAATAATCTAAAGGTCCAGGGTAATGATATTTGGCCAGAAGCATGCTGGTATGAAAGGCTATAAAGTCTGTTCAACTAAATGTCCTTGTTTCACTTTTAAGTTCACATGTCACATGTTTAAATCTTTTAATAGATTCTTTTGAATCAAACACTGGAATTTTGCATGTAGCTATATTTTAGTCCACTTTTAAGATGACAAGTTTAAGATCAATACTAGGTGAGCAATTCAGGCCTATTGATCATGAGCCTCTTGTATTAAACGTAACCCGTTTGACAGACTTTTGCGATATTGCCATCGGCAAGTGATTCCACCTCAAGAACATCAGAATTGTAGAAACTTGCATGGATGTGAATTTTAGGTACACCTATGGTATACTGTACTTATTTGTGATTTTTCTGAATATGGCATTAGTTGTACATGCGTTATCTTTAAATATTGCTAAAATATTAAGCATTGCATTTTCCTTGTCTATGTTCTGTTTTACTTAAATTTTGGTAAACCCTTTCACCCCTATGCAACTTTAGTAGACTCTACCATGCGTTAATCTGGATGAGTCCATGATGGTCTAGTGGTGAAAGGGTTAAAAGGTGGGAGAGAAAGAGTCGATTATCATGTACGGCTGCAGAATTAGGTGTCGGAACCTCGGTTCTTTGGAATCTTCACCAATACGATAATTTTTTTTCGGACTGATTAACCCTTTCACCCCTAAAAATTGTTAACAGGAGGCCCAGAGGACCTGTAATGCTCACCTGTTTCTTTTGTTACACGAAACTGACATATAGGTTACTTCACACCAAATTTGGTAACTAAAACAAAGGACATTTTAACATCTCTTAAACGGTT